TTGCAACGACAAAGCCAAAGATTCAGTAGATGCAGGGAGTAGGGAGCTCCACGTGAAGTAGCAGCTGGACGGTTGTGTGACGAAGTGTGTTGATGACCACATACACCTCATCCCAGCTATGACCAAGAAGATGAAGGAGTCTCTCATATCCATTGGGAAATAAAAGTCTTTGCCAGTGCCCATTGGGGTTGAGGGTAAGAGTCTATTTTAAAAAGGAAAGGGAATTTTAGTCTTTTAAGCAAAGTCTATGAATGAAGAAATTAAGGATGGCAATGGGTTTAAAGCATATGTCACTTGCCTCTGGACATTGGTTCCCTTGTTACAAACCTGAAAAGTGAAATGGAAAAAAATTGGTGCTAAAATTTTTGTCAGAGATAGTACAGGAGAGTGTTTTAGAGCCTATATTGTACGTGGCAAGTGCTTGTCCTGGCAGTAAGAATCTCCTCTATACCATGCCAATGCCCTCCAAGGTACCAGCAGGCTGGCAGTTTCCTGTAACCTGCCTATGATCCGGTAAAGTTTAAGTAGAAGCATTTCTGTTTCTTGCCAACCTCCTATTTACCAGAAGTGTTGCCACACCGTTTTCCACAATCTGTACAACAAAATTCATGAGGTCACTAATTTAGAAGGGGCAAAAAAGGTTTCTGGTTTTTTATTTTGCTTGGTTTTATTATATTTATACAAGGGAACGAAGTTGATTTAAGATGTGGAGCTGGGAGGGAGAGTAGTTTGGATAGGAACTTTGCAAGTTTTCTTGAGATATCCTTCTCTGACCATCAAGGTGTGGATGTGCAATTCTTAAAATTGTTACCCGTTGCATTTTTCAGGCAGATACCATGCAAAAACATGAGAGGCAACACCACAGTGATTTTAGGAAGCTGAACTTTCTGCTTATTAGCTGGTAGGCCTGAGGCTGTCTGCAGCAGAGTGACCTTACAATGTTGCAGTAACACTTTCTCCTTGAAAAGAAACAGGGTTTTGATTGTGGTAAACACCAGGTATGGAGAAGCCAACAGTAAAAAAAGGAACTTGTTGGCTGCCTGAATAGAAGAGAGTTGTGAAGTGCTGGATTTGGAAGAACATGGTTTTCATAGAATGCAATAAAAGCTTAAACCCAGCTTTGCTTACTTAGGACCCTATTGAGACAATCCCCTGCTAACATGGAAAAGTAAGCAAATTGGTCTAGAAGCTGTGACTTCCTTAAAGGAAAGGAAGGGCAGTGCCCCATTACTAAATGCCATTTTTGCCTGAGATCTTCTAAACAGGTGTTCCTGCCCTCCCACCTGTGGTTTTGATAAAGACCTCATTTGTCTATCAACCTATACTTGAAATGATAATATAGCCTGTCTATTTTCTTTTTCCAGGCTGTGATACATTTTCCTACTCATATGTTTTTTTTTTTTTTAAGACTTTTATTTATTTACTTTTTGTTGTTGTTGCAGTTTGGCCAGAGCCGGTTTTGAATCCACCGCTCTCGGTATATGGGACTGGCATCCTACTCACTGAGCCACAGGCGCCACCTAGTTATATGGTCAAAAAAAAAAAAAAAAAAAAAAAAAAGAATCAGATATAAATGTCAGATGAATGAAAATAGTACTCTAACGGAAGTCTCTCAGGGAGAATCCAATGGATGGAGGAAGGGTGCATATACCTGCTCACCTATAAATTTCATCATCCAGCAAATGTTAATTGAGAATTTAATGTGCCAGGCTGAATTTGAAACACTTATTAAATGTTTAAAATATGGTAAGTGATTCATGGGAAGGAGGCAAAAATTACCCTTAGGAAATTTACAATCTAGTTAGAGATCAAAGCATAAACATATGTAATTTTCCCCTTATTGTCAGATTTCCAGCCCATTCTGAAAGAAAAGGGGGAATAAAAAGTAGAGGACATGAGGCCGGGTGCAGTGGCTCATACCTGTAATCCCAGCACTCTGGGAGATCAAGGCAGGTGGATTGCCTGAGCTCACCAGTTCAAGACCAGCCTGAGCCAGAGTGAGACCCTGTCTCTAAAAATAGCCGGGCGTTGGGTAGCACCTGTGATTCAGTGGGTAGGGCAC